ACACACACACACACACACACATACACACACATACACATGCATTTATGTGAGGTTGTTCATATCCCTCCGATCCTCTCCTCCTGCAGTCGGAGGAATCTCTGATTCCTTTTTTTCTAGAAAAGTTGAAATGTCACGTACAGCAAACTCATTCATCTCTTCCTTGCAAATCATTCAAATTATCGGTCTGACTTGAATGACATGATTAGTTATTTTCAGATATTTCTATTTTTTTTTTCACTAATTTGAATTTCTTTTTTGTCAGTTTAAACAATTTTATCGCATACAATAAAGCGTCTTTCTGAATAAACTTAGAATTTCACTGTTCCTTTTTTTAGAAATTGTAAGAAATTTTTTATCGAAGACAGCAAAGTTAGTAATTAATTAAATGTAAACACTTTTGAATTTTTATGTTTAGAAATCAAAATGTAAAAAAGGTAAGATTAAAAAGCAAAATTAAATTCTTGTTTTTCAGCTAAAAATTAATTTTGTTTGTTTCTCACTTACAAACACTTGCATTTTTTTTTTTGATAAAATTGGAAGCAAAATTTTTTATACTTTTAAATAAAATCCTAAGTAGCAAAAATATGGTAATTTGACTAAATTAAAAACGAATTTTAGTCTTTTTCATTACTTCATTATTAAATGAACTTTACAAATTTTATAATTTAGTCTTATCCTCTTATTTGCATTCTTTAATCATTTATTAATGAGACCGCTCTAATTTTAGAAATTTGTGAAATGAATTGACAAAAGAAGAGATTTATTCCATTTGTTGAAAGTGCACCGAAAATTTTCGATTGACAAATGATTCTTCATCACTTTGCAAAGCTTTAAATTCCTTACATATTTTTTTTTTGTTTTATTGCATTTTCGAAAAAAAATCGAAATCAAAAAAAAAATAAAATCGAAATTTTCACTTATCAATCAAAAAATCCAGCATTTGTTTTCCTGATAATTATTTTAGATTAAAATTTTTTAATGTTACAGTGATAAATTTTGCACTTTTTTCCTTATTTGATTAATTTATATCATTTTTTATTTATCAGTGTAATTCAGTCAATCATTAATATTTAATTATTTAGTCGAATAAATTACTCAACGGATAAATGAAGAGCAAAAATATCGTGAAGAATTAGATTTGTATTAAATGTGTTGTATAAACTATGCTATATATTAATCACTAATTAACATTAATTATATCGCTGATGTCTCTTTGCTCTTTCTTATCTCCACCGCTTTCTTTCTTCCACCTCTTTCACTCCCCGCTTCTCCCCGTCATCGCCGCTTTTCCCCGTCATCGCCGCTTTTCCCGTCATCCCCGCTTCTCCCCGTCATTCCCGCTCCTCCTCGTCATCCCCGCTTCTCCCCGTCATCGCCGCTTCTTGGCATTCTCGTTTCTCAGCGTCATCACCGCTGCACTATTTTTTCATTCCATTTTTATACTGTCTACTTCATTTTTAATTATTAAATATTAATCCGATTCAATGAAGTATGAAATTTTCGTTAATCACTGAGTTATAATCGTTCAACGAAAATATCAGACATCGATTTAATTCATTCATTTCTACTTCTTTTCATCTTGCTTAATCTGTTTAGAGCGAATGCAAATTGACTTAAATATTTGAATTAAAATTCCGAACTACTAATCAGCTTTTCTCATACTTCATTAATTTTATAAATCCTTCTATCACTTGACTGTCACTGTTATCAACGCATGAATAAATACGATTCGATGATTTCAATGAATATTAAATTTTTATTAATTAAACTTGTTTAAAGTACAACTAATTAAATTTGGAATATATTTCGTAAGATAGGAAAAGTTTAACATTTTATCCCTTCTTCAACCACTCTTGCTCTGCTCAACCTCCGATCACAGCAAAAGAGAATTTAAGAAGCTCTGATGACTCATTCTGTAACAGCCAGCTTTTCCATTCCACTCATTTTGCTTCCTTCGTTAGCTGTTTCAACTGGACAAGAGGTTAAAATTTAGAGAAAAAAAGAAGAGGGATGATTTGCAAAATTTGTACTAAACCTTCTTTTCTTCCTTTCTTATCAATTCATTTCAAAATAAATTTGCATATTTCGATGAATTTACATAAATGACTGAATCGACTAATAAAGATAACTTCAGTTTTTGAAAAATTTTCAAATCTCATTTAAATCATATTAACAAAATAAATATGTTTTGTAAAGAAATAAGAAAAATTTTGGTGTTTTATAAACATAAGCTTCAACTAGCAGTAAATTAAGATTGATCAATAAGTAAATAAGTAATCGATTATGTTATCAGAATTATTATATGAATTCATTTCAATTGAATCGAATATTTACGGTTTAATATTGAAGAAAGAAAATGCGATATATGCACTTTTTTTCACAGATTTTAAGTAATTTCTGCGCATACAATTTAATTTTTCTATTTTTAGTCAATAACCGAGACGGCATCCACGTGGCGTAAACGTCGCGGTGGTGGCGTGACGGCCACAACTGCTCCAACAATTCCACCAACCTCTATACCTTCCACATCATATCAACAACAAGTACTATTTTTAAAAGTATTTTTTGATAATAAATTTAACAAAACTGTTTGACAGAAGTAGACAAATCATTTTTCACTATCTTTATTAACAATGTTCGTTTTGAACAACCTCTAATTTTCTGTTTTTTTTTTTCAAAATTTTTCCCCTTCAAAAATTTTGCAAAAATAGTATTTTAAAGAAAAAATAAATGCCGCTACGGTTGATTCCGGACTTTTTGTAACTTCTCCGATAAGGTCGATACTTACTAATGCCGTTAGATATTTCATGTTCATTGAAAATTTCTTTTAAATTCAGTTATTAACTCGATCGGTGGAAAAAATGTTTGAAGAAGCGGAATTGAGCGGTGTATTGTTATTGGCTGGTCGCAAATTGAAAGAATTTCCGGCTCATCTCGCCCTTAAATATGAAATATCCGATATTATTTCTGCTGGTATGCTTTTTTCATTTGCATTGAATTTATTTCAGAAAAATTTTACAAATTTTTTGTTTCTGGTTGATTAGATTTTTTACTTACAGATGAATTTTTTTCTTCACTTTAAAAATTTCAGATTTATATTTATTATAAAATTTAATGTTGCTAATTATGTCTATTACAATATGTTTCAATGAAATTTTATGCTTATTTTATTGAATTTCATGCAATACGAATTGATATGTATTATAAAATAGAATCGAAGGATTCACTATTCGCTACATTTTCTTCCATAATTGATAGAAATTCAAAATTGAAGGAAAAAAAAGAAATTGTTAAAAAATGAATTCTCGGACTAAACAAAATTCAAAAAATAAAAATTGAATAAAATTTTTCAATTACGATATTTCGTTATGTTTTTCATTTTTATTATTATTAAAGAATAAAGAAATCCAATTCCTTCCTTTTAAATTATTTTTCTTTTATGTAAATTGAATTTGCAGACACACCAAACAGCTGCTTGTACTTTCTTATTCATTTTTCCTTTTTCTTTCATATTTTATAATTAAAGAATAGTAAGGAGTGAAACAAATATAAGAGGAAAGTAATATTTATAGAATAAGAAATGAAAGGAAGAAAAGTTGAAAAAGGCTAAATTTATCATAAATGAATGTGATATTTTCATGAATGAAAAGGGAAAAAAATAAGGTGAAAAAAAAAAATTTCGTCGTTTAATAAATAAATAGTTCCTTGTATTTTATAAAATGAAGAAACTTTTTTTATGTCAATTATTTATAAGAAAGTATTGATTCTTTCGAAATTTGAAGATTTTTTTTGTTACTGAATAGATATTAGGGAAAATGAATTTTATTGACTTTTAATTTATGACAAAATCTGTAACTACTATTCAGAAAATTCAATTGAAATTTTCATTGTCATCTTTTCTCTCACCATTTTTTTCATCTTTATTACAACTATTATTGTTGAAACTATTATTGTTGAAATATGTATTATCATTACTATTATTATCATGATTACTATTACGCATTAAAAATATCTTGAATTATTACTATTAATCTATTGGTATCATTATAAACACAACTGCTGTTTCTGTTATCTTCGCTGCTAACAGTTCATTGAAATGAAATGCATATTTCAGTAGTACTTATTCACCAACGAAAATGAGTATAAAAATTTAATTGAATATAATTATTAGATCGAAAATTTTATTTAACAGTAATAATAAATAATAAAGAATTATCAATTTATATCATATTTAAATATACTTAAATATATTCCATTTTTAAATTAATTTCACTCGGAAGAAATGACATTGCAATATTTTTTCAGATCTCAGTGATAATCGTTTCATACATTTACCATTATGTATCTGCGAGATGTGTTCGATGGAAACGTTAACGATTCGTAATACGGGTTTACGTTCAATCCCTTCCGCTGTGCAATTACTTCAGTCGCTTACTTACCTCGATTTAAGGTAATCATGCTAATAATGAAGAACTGAAGAACTGCTTATACTGATAATTATATGTTTACTTAAATTTATGCATGATTAAAAAATTCTTTTTTTTTTGCAAACTAAGTAGTTAAAATTATTATTGTTACGTACAGTTTATAACTGAGAATTACAATAATCAAATTTACTATTGTTGCAAGATACAATTTGAAATTGAAAATAACCGTAGTTAACTTTATTATTGTTACAAGTGAATGGTAATCAAATTTATTATTATTACAAAGTACTAATTTTCTAACTGGAAATTGCAGTACTTTAATAATTTGATATTTTTGACAGAATTATATAAAAATTTTTGGTTAATATTCTAAAACAAATATTAACAGATATCATTTTTCACCCTCTTTCGTTATATTTCTTCTCTCTTCTCAATTATAGTATATACATATCCAAGAAGTTAATTTTCTCAATTGATGAGAGAATCTTCGGAAGAGGAAGAATTAGCTATCCATAAAATGGTTCGATAATTTCAGCATGGCAAATTACTCGATCTGTTAGCCCCTTTTTCACAATCTTCATTATCCTTAAAAAAAAATCGATTTGAAATCTAAATTTATTAGAATTCCAGACAGAATTAGTGTGATAAATGGGGGAACTGAACTTTAAATATTCAAATGTTTAAAATATTCAAAAAATTTTAAAATCACAAAATCTTTTGTTGTTTATTATTGCTATCATATTGTCATCATAACTATGATTGATTATCAACAACTTTATTTACATACATCTTCATATCATTCTCTCCCTCAATATTCCTTTACTATGATTAGCATATTAAATAAATAATCGTACACTCTATAATTATTGTTAATGACAACTATCCACTTCCTATACTCATTAAATAATAATGATAATGATAATAATAATGAAGTAACATTGATGATAATTGTTATATTAACTCTAACAATGATAAAATGTTAATTTCATCAGATTCACATAAGAAAAAGCATTAATTAAGAATTAATTCAATAAATATTTATAGTGGTAATCAACTGATGAACATCCCAACCGCTCTCTTTTCCACACCTCTTGAAATTCTCCTGCTAACGGGTAATCGTTTGGAGTATATTCCACGAGAAATTCGGCAACTTTCAAATTCGTTGCGTGAATTGGTATAATAATTTTCATCTTTTTCATACGTTTTTAAATGTGACAATTTTTAATGTATAAAAATTTGATAGATAATTTTAATTTTTGGTATAATTTTTGATATGTATTTCATATGTGTTAGTTTCATGTGATAATTTTAATTTATCATTATTTTCAAATAACATTAAACTACTATAAATCTATTCATTATTGTGTAGTTATAAATTATAGTGGATAAGCAATAAAATAAAACAGATATGAAATGTTAAAATTGTTAAAATTTCATCGAAAGTTATTCTTTCTGATCAATTCTGAAAGATTTTTGCATAAAACTATCAATAAAACAAAATCGTTTAGTTCAAATTGAAAAGTTTCTTTTAATATATTATTGATAATTTATCAATATCTGCTACATTTTTCAGCTTTGTCTTCAAATGTTTTAAAATATTAGGAAGAATGAAACAAAATTTAATGATTGAATTTTAATGGAGAATATTTGCAGGATGCTAGTTGTAATAAGCTGAAATGTTTACCAGCTGATATTGCTTTACTAAAATCGCTACGAGTGCTCAATGTGCGAGATAATCAGCTTACTCATTTGCCTACAGGTTTATTAAATGATTTTTTAACGAATTTAAAAATCACTCAACTATTGATTATTCTAAAAAGGAAGAACTCACACACATTTCAATACTTTATTTTATTAAAAAGGTACTTTTGCTAGTACTAGAAAAAAGGAAAAAGAGTAAAAATTACTAAAATTAATTAATCGTTTCAAATATGTTAAAGAATAGGATAACACTATGAAATTTTGTGAATCGACAAATTTTCAATTATTTTAGTCTAAAAATATTGATGCAATATGTTTATTTTAACAAATAAAAAATCACTCGTTTTGATTAAAATTAGCATAAATTGTGGTTGATTGTAATTTCCGAAATAAATGCCAACAAGCCGATGTAATAAAATTAAATTAATTAGTTTATTCATTATGTTATTCACTTTAGCTTTGAATTGATTATCATTTCATCCTTTTGAATCCATGAATGACCACTTAAATAAAATAAATTCTTTTTTTAATTGGTAGATTTTCATAATCATTAGTAAATTATTTAATATTATACATCCTCCTTTTCTTTCTGTTTTCTCCATCTGGAATTGATTTTATCATATTTGAATAATTTCAATGCTCCAACCTTGGAGCATAATTTATTTCTTTTATTTCTATTCCAATTAAGTATGTTTAGTTCAGTTTTAAAGTTTGAAATAATTATCTCACTTTTTCAAATATTTTGCTATTCATCTTACTTGATTTTCATACAAAGTGCTTTTGTCCCAATTAAAACATGAAATAATAACTAAATTTTTTCTTATTTTTTTTTCATTTAATTCATTGAAATATCTTTTAAATGAAAAAAATCAATCCATTTTTTTCCTGCCATAAACATTGATTACTAATTAAATATTTCCGTAACACAAAGGCAAGTAAGATAAATTTATTGTCCGACTTATAAATTTTTTTTGCTATTTAATTTACCAAATTATTTTACGAATATTTTACGTGCATTTTTTTAATTCATTCAAATATTTTTTGAAATTATATGAAAAAAAATATTGATGAAGGATAACGGAAAAAGATTTTTCTGAAAAAGGCCGTTTTAATAGCAAATATATTTTAAATATGCTTTAAATAGAGCATTTAAAGCTGTATAGCCATTGCATGACAAAACCAAATATGTAATTATCAAAACTGAAACGGAAAGCTCCTTTTGCGGTTGAAGGAAATTGATGTGCGAGACAGATGCGCCCATCTGGAAGGATATGAAATGATGAGATTTAACCATATAATTTGGTTATCCCAAAATAGAAACGATATAATTTGGTGCATTTATTGATTGAACCATTTCACCATTGACATTTTTCCATTTTAACTAAAAAAGGGAATGAGCAAACTTTTTCAAAAAAAAAAGGTTAAAGCGATAAAAAAATTGATGAAAGAAAAATGGAAATAAATCGATTTTTCAAGAAAAACAGCAATTTTACAATATTTGCAATAAATTTGTATGATTTTGTAGTATTTTAATTTTAATTTTTGCATCTTTAATTTTTATTTTTAGTTTTAAGAAATATTAAATTTATGAAAAGGAATTTAAAAAAGGAAAAAATACATTAACTTCTTTTTAAACTTTTTTTCCGTTAAATTCAAATCGAAATTTATGTTTAAAATTTCTGCTTTTGTGTCTTTTCATGATAAAGAAGGGAATGAAATAGATGAATGAAAATATTCCATATATGCAAAACTTTAATATATTTAGTATATTGAACGAGTATATCAATTTCAAAAACTGTAACCTACTGCTATAATTTAAACTTAAACATTTGGTTTTATATAAAAATGGCGTAATAATCGATAACAAATGTCCTTTTTCTTTTTCTGTTCATAAATATTGCCAATTTTTTGTTAAGATTAATTTTCTTTTTGCTACCAAATTTTAAAAATTTCAGAATTTTCACGGTTAGAACTAAGAATATTGGACATATCGCAAAATAAACTTAGTGAATTACCGTTTGATTTACGGTATATGTGTACATTGGTGGATTTTCGTATCGATGTCAATCCTCTCGTAGCACCACCTGCTAAACTTTGCTCAAAGGTATGCTTTTAATAAATATGAAAGTAATAATTTAGCTTGCAACATTAGCATAAATGAATTATTTACTGAATATACATCTCGGGAAATAGAATGAATAACAATCAACAGTTGAGCATATTATCATTAATACGAAATATTAATGAAAACCGATTGAATAAGCAGTCTTGTGCTAATCCATGTTTGTCCGGAAATATCATTGAGATGATTCTCTGAACTCGCTAGAATTTCGATTTGTTATGATTATGAGTGCAGTGAATCAATAGATGCAAATTTTAACACTCATTAAAGCTTATTTTGATTAATTTTTAAACAAGCATATTTATTAATTTTACTACAAATTTTATACCATTTTCATTTAAAGAGATTTTAATTTTAAACTGTAAAGAATACTGATATCAATTAAAATTTTATGTGATAGAATTGTAATGGTCTTCATAATTATGATTGGTAATAGAATAACGCTAATAATGATTTTTATCGATAATAGCTTAATATTAGCGATGATAATCAGCACAATGATAAACTCGATTATCAATAATAATATTATTTTATATTTCAGTTGTACAATATCAATCTTAATTTATATGCGATTTAAAAACACACTGATCTAATATTTTCCTCAAATTTCAAAAAAATGCAAATTTTGTTAATTTTTTCTACAAATTACCATTATTTAATAATAAAATCTATTGTATACTTCTAGTTATAAATTCCGAATCTATTTGATTTTAAATTTTTATTAAAATAATCGGTCTATATCTGTTTATTAGGGGCGTGAACATGCATTTAAATGGTTGCGATCACATGCTGGGCGAACGGTTGATGGTACAACAAAAACATACGATCATACATTCAAAAGACCAACCACTATAAATGCAACATTAAGAAGAGGACAAAAGTAAGATTTATTCTAAAAGAAAAAGTTTTTCAATTTATACAAGAATTTTTAAAAAATAAAATTTTATTTTAAATTTAAAATTCTTGAGCAGTCTTATTGTAAAGATATTCATAATAGTTGTGAATGGAGAAGAAAAAAAAATTAGTTTTGTAATATTTTCAGTGAATGATTCTGTCCTGAACAAAACATTCAGTTGCTGGAATGATAAGATTAAAAAAAAAATGATTTAAATTTTCAGTAAAAAGTTGAATTAGTTTGTAGTATTTAGTATATTTCAAGTAAACCGAAGTATGCAATGATAATTTTATTGCTTAAATGAATTTGATATATATATATATATATTGTTCCAGCATAGAAAGTATCGGCGATGGACGACGTTTTGAAAGGCGATCACGTAATACTCGTTTTAATACCGTTGGTGGTAGTGATTCCGGTTATGCATCAACTGCTGATGAGAATCGTTATTCCCGTGAGGTTGCTTTAAATGTCAATTTTTACATAATAAAATGATACAACATGCTAAGTAAATTCCAATGAACATTTATTTGCAAATATTACATTCAAATTTTAGTAAATTTCAGAAAAAATTAAAATAATAATTTTTATGATTTATATTTTTAAAAAATTTTCGCAAAAATGATAAATGTCGGAGATATTTCAAATCAACTATTCATACGAGGAATTTAAATGTTGAAAACTTTAATTTGAACCGTTGTTGTTATTTAAGTTATTTTTTTTGCTAACTTATTTATTCATTTATTAATTCTTATCCATTTTCATCTAATCAGTCATACTTTTTGTCTTTTTAACTTTCCTTCTACTTACAACAATGCAAACAAAAAAAAAAGTTTTTGACGCCATTGTTCTATACATATAATATCAGTTGAAAATGCTGCTACGTGCTCTTTTACGTTTTTGTAACACGCACACATGCACACACTTATAGCATATTTTATGCAAGTATAAGCAAGATGAAAATATCTCATATTTATACATAATTAAAGAAAGTATTTGCATAAAAAGGAAGGAAAGATAGGTTAAGGGTGAGAAAAGTTAAGAATATTACTTATTATTATCATTATCAACTTGTTATCAGTGTAATCATTATACATCATAAATATTTGCTAGCACGATGATATAATTTTTTTTAACTATCAATTATTCTATCATTATTTTCATTTGAATTTTTGTTTTATTTTTTTTTCCTTTTTTAGTTTCAACCACAAGTTGGCTGTTTATTCAATATTGATGAAACTAATCAATTACATCATCATCACCATCATTATCATCAACAACAGCAACAACAACAAGGGCAACAACAACAGGGGCAACAACAACAAGGGCAACAACAACAAGGGCAA